GGAGAAAAAAAACAAAAAGGTGAATAGTGAACAGAACACATTGTATGTTAAAAATAAAGATGAGGGAAATAATATGTGTAATGCATGTAAAAACTTTGGAAGAATACATGAAAAGCCCTAAACCAATAAATGTTTTTCCAGTGATCAGAATGAAGCAAATGGGATGGGTGAGAATTGCCTATTGTTTTCAAATATTTTCACATTTTGAACCATGTCCGCAGTTCTTATATTCCACTTTAATTAGCTGTATGCAGTAATCAGGACTACCACAAAGACATGCTGAGAACTCAAGACTCAGGCCATGGACTTCTAGCATTTGAATAATAGTCCCATTATATATGGCACATGCCTGTAATCCCAGCACTTGGGAGGCTGAGGCAGGAGGATTGTTGAGAGTTCGAGACCAGCCTGGGCTACAAAGTGAGCTCAAGGCCAGCCTGAACTGCATAGTGAGACTCTGTCTCAAAAACACCAAAACAAACCCAAACCCATTATATAATTCCTGTATGCAAGAGAAACCTACACAAAGTCATTTTAATGTGAATGATATTTGTTCTACAGAGAGAATTATTGGTCTAGTTAGGACTGAAATGCCATAGATGAATATATTGGTTGAAGCCTGGTGTTATGCCCTGGTACAAAGAACAATTCATACAATAGTGTGAAATTCAAGCCTCCTCCCATTGCCTAGGCAGCCAGGACTCCAAAGATCTTGTGGAAACATAGGTGAGAACAAACAAATGGTTATAATCCTCAGTGGACCTGTACACATTAACCTAGCAATGAACAGGCGATAATTACCATCTATTCCCTTTGTCCACACTTGTGAGAATTCTCCCACAAAGGGAGGGCATTTGTGTTAGGGAAGGATGGAACAGTCATTCCTTACGTTAGCAGGAGGCTTGGTAGTTTGGGGAAGAGGGCTCTATGGGGAAGTCTAGAAACCTGAGTCACCAAGTGGGACATCAGTACATTCTTTGGTTTCAAGTCTTTTTTTTTTTTTTTTTTTTTTTTTTGGTACCAGGAATCAAACTCAGGACCTCATGCTTTCCAGGTAGGCGCTGCACCACTGAGCTAAATCCCCGGCCCTGGTTTCAAAGTCTATCAGACTAGCCATGGCCGTCATATTTAGAATTTGCTTCAGCAAATGTAAGAAATTCCAAAGTCAATCTAACACCCTTTGGGAAAAGAAAGCCTCTCTCCTCAGGTATTTCAGGGCACTTAGTAAAACTCAAAGTGTGACTAGCCCATATCAGGCAGCATTAACCCTGGGTAATTATTTACACCCAGAGGCCAGTCTGCATCTCACTTCGCCCCTTGCACAGGCCCCCTGGTCATTCAGCTTAGGAGTGATGGACAGAAATGGGGCCGGATGGAGATTCAGTGTCCAGTGGGTCAGAGCAAATGTCCACACGTTATCATAGAACAGATTATTCCTATGCAGCTCTCAGCCAACTAGAAGCTCCTGACTGATTTAAATTTGAGCCTAGAAAAGTACCTTCTTATTTTAGTGTTGCAGGATTTTAGAGATGTAAGAGACCTAAGAGAGAACATACTCATTATTTTATGATTCTTTTTGCTTGTGGGCCAATATTACATCATATGTAACAGTTTTTTTGTTTTTATTTTTTGTTTTGGTTTTTTGAGACAAGGTCTCACTATAGATGATTGAAAACAGCCTTAAACTTGTTAGGTGGCCCAGGCTGGCACTGAATTTGAGATCCTCCTGCCTCAGCCTCCAAAGTGCTGCGATTCCACGCATACTTCATCACACTTGGGTATGTATAACAGTTCTTAAACTCAAAAATGTCTAATAGAAAATTCAGTAAGGGAGATCTGTTGACACAATCCAGTCTATAGCATATTTCATGTATTTCAGTTTCAATCCGTGGAGTTTTAAGGTTGCTACTGTAAATTTAAAAAAAATCTCTTATGAAGAATATCTGTTTCTACAGGAAGGCACCGGGAGCTTCTTCACAACTATCTAAATATTCTGCTAGAAATATCTCTAAAGTCAAATGTCCTGCAAATATTCCTAGTTTAAATTGCAAAACAGCTGGGCATGGTGGCACATGCCTGTAATCCCAGCACTCGGGAGGGTGAGGCAGGAGGATTGCTGCGAGTTCAAAGCCAGCCTGGGCTATAAAGTGAGCTCAAGGCCAGCCTGAACTGTATACCGAGATCCTGTCTCAAAAAGACCAAAAAAAAAAAAAAAATTGGAAGCAAATATCAATGTCATATTTTACTGTCATTTAGGAATCATAATAAATGTAGTACTTATTATATTACATTTGTAAGTCCCAAATCATGCTGAGCCCCATTAGATATATGGTGACCCACTACAGAAACAACAAAGAAATATAATAAACAAATAGAGGTACACTAATAATATTAATACCACATATTAATGTAGCACACTACTATTATACATTAATGCTTTATATAATGCATTAAATGCATATTAATAGATTCGTATGTTATATAAATTATAATGAAATTTGATGACATAAATTATTAATGTAACCTTATTAATATGATATTATGTTAATATGTTTATATATTATGCAATATTTATATAACACCTAAATAGTATATATCTAATTTAGGGACTAGAACGAACACTGTTTATAGTGTTTTCCAAGTGACTGGTCGTATATCTCACTGGGATCCAGAATGATTTTAGGCAAAAGTAGATTTAAGTCTTTTTAGCATAAACTGGTTTAAGTGCCAGGATTCAAAGCCCAGCTCTGACTCTTAGAACTCCTGTGATTTGTGGTAAATTATTTCATCCTTGTCTGTCAAGTTGGCGTAATCCTAACACTTAGCCACAGAGCTATTATAAGGATAAAATGAATTCATTCCTTCCGCAAATAATTCCCGAGATGCTGAGTATTGTCCTGCACTGGGGTATGGTGAATGAGTGCATACAGCACATTCCATGCACTTGGACTGTTTTTTTCTAAAAACACACTGGCTCAGGCGGGGAGTTCTATCTAGGAGTTGAAGAAGTTTTAAACTACAGAAACAGCAATGAATTATTCATCAGGTCTCCGAGACTAGGGAGTTGAAATGCTGCTGACCACACAATAGTATCCAATTACAGGAGAGTATTATTCGACAGAGAGCAGAAGCAATACACCTGTTGATTGATTCAGCGTGTGTGGTAAGCACTTTATGCGGGATGGTAATTAATTTCTGGACACTCACACCGGTTGTCAAGTTTTAACATTTCTTTCAGAACAAGATCCGTGGAAACTTACAGCAGCAATGAAAGCAAGAATAAAAACAAAGGTATAATGTATAATGGATATTAATATTAGCAATAAAATATTGAGAGGATTAAAGACCTCTTCCACCGGAAACTTTTGCCTCTTCTTAAGGGTCACATTCCCTGAAGTACATATTTTTATCAGTTTTAAAAATCTATAATGATTTGTTCTTTTTGGAGGATGGGGTGGGGTTGAACCCCGCAAGCACTGTAACACTCAGCTACACCCCAGCCCAGTGCTTTATTTTTTAAACCAAGATGCTGCTGCCCGGTATGGAAGGAGATAAGGGACGCCGGGATAAAATGACATAGCTCCCCCTGAAGCATCAGGTTTTCTTCCCTCTTCAATTTTCCGTATTGATACCAACAAGGATTTACCATAGAACGGGATACAAAAATCCACCTGATTTCACAAGATAAATTATGAGAAAAGCAACAGCTCGCTGCGCGGGCCTCCTGCGGGGGCTCCAGGAGGTGTAGGAGAAAGGTTAGCAAGGACGGTGCTTTGGGAATGGGTTTTTCCTATCTTCCCTGCATTGTCAGCCAAGAGGAGTTTGGTTTCATACATGCTTTTAATTTTTTTTTTTTTTTTTTTTTTTTTTTTGCCTACTTTCTAACTTCTTATTGCTTCCTGTGACCTACTAAGCCTAGGAAAATACATTGTGAGGCTGGGGATTTAGTTCAGTGGCACAGCGCCTGCCTGGCAAGCCCAAGGTCATGAGTTTGATTCCCGGTACCGGAAAAAAAAACAAAAAACAAAACAAAAAAAATAAATTGTAGACCTCACAAAATAACAGCAGTACGACATGTTTCTGACCAGGACCCCGCGGCTGCGCTTGCACACGGCATGGGTGACAATGCCGAGCCCCCTACCGCAAGCTCAGACAGCAGGGGATTTCTGTTCCGCAGTAACACAGGCGTCAGGAGCAGAACTGAGGAAAGGGGTTGAGGAGAGAGAGTATGAACTCCTCAGTCTCCGCTGGGAGCCTTGCAGAAGGCCGGACACTGGCGAGAAGGCATCCGCCCAGCATTCAGAGCTTTGTCCAGAACGGTACCCACTCTGAATCCAAAGAGCTGGCTGTAAAACCCAGTCATGCCGTAGGATGAGTCTGCTGGTATTGCGCTCGCAGTATTTATCACCGTCCGACGATCTGAATCACTTGTTCAGCATGTCCTTGCGTGCCTTCCACCCCAGCCTCGTTTAGGAGGGTCACTTGAACAGTAGAGGTTCCCTCCAGTACTAGGGGTTGAGCGCAGGGCCTTGGCCCTGAGATGCACCCCAACTCTCTCCCCGCTGCCCCCGCCCCCGCAGGATCTCACTAGTTGACCGGGCTCAGCTCGAACTCGAGAACCTGATTTCCACCCCACCCCACCCCCGCTGCCCGCCTTTAATCACACACACATTTCTCAAGACACGCTTAAGCCAAAGGTGGGGGAGTGGGGCTGAGCCCCGGAAAGTGCAGGGGGAGCCCAGGCGGAGCCCTCTCTGCGCCCTGCAGTCTTTTGCCACCCGATGCGGACCGGATCTGGACCAGCTCCACTCGGGAGGTAAGCCGCGGATCACAGGTCAGGTTCGCCGCCGGGGCCCCTCGATCGCGAGGTTCCCGGGCCCCCGCGGGGCGTCGTTCGCCCCCTGCTGGGCGCGCTGCGCTCGGGGCGCACCTTTTGGACCTCGGAGGACCCAGCACCCGAGAATCTCCGACCCCGCTCGGGGAACCGGGCCCCTGCTCACCGCTGCGGAACCTGCTGCCGTCGCCAGCCTTGCCGAGGGCGCTGCTGGAGCAGCCCATCGTGGGCGCGCAGCCGCCGGTCCCAGCCCCGAGCGGGCGCCGGCCGGAGCCTGGGTCCCCGCGTACCGCGCCCGAAGCCGCAGAAGTTTCCCTGCCTCTGCGGCGGCCCGGCTCCCGGGGGCTCAGGGCGCAGGGGCGGGCAAGGGTGGGGGCGGGCGGGGAGCGCACGGACAGGTGGACCCGAGGGCCCAGGTGGGAGAAGGTGGAGGGGCGGAAAAGGCACAGCGGCGCGCCAAGCAGGGACGGGAGAGGGCACGAGAGGGCGAGGCTGAGAGGGCCCCTTCGGGTCCTAACTAAATACCCGGGCAGGGGAGGGGCGGCTGCGGCCTGTGGCTATTGATTGGTAGGCTGGATGTGCGGTGACAGTCTCGGCACTTACGTACCCGGTACAGTCTCCATGAGGAAGTTTAACATTAATACCAACCCGCCCTCCCCCTTTACTAGGAGTGGAACTCAGCGCCTTTGCACTTAGCTACATTCCCCAGCCCCTATTTACTATTACCTATCTATCTATCTATCTATCTACCTACCTACCTATCTATCTATCTATCTATCTATCATCTATCTATCTTTGTTTGGAGACAAGGTCTTGCTAAATCGCTAAATTGCTCAGGCTAGGCTCGAACTTGCAATCCTCCAGCCCAGCCTACTAGAGTGCTGAGGTTACAGCTTGCCCCACCATGGTGGGAGATACCAATCTACTTAATCTCCACTCCCTGTTCAACTTCTGTCAGCTGTTCCCTCGAGAGGACACCCTTCGTTTAGTTGTCCTGCTATTTATTTTGCAAATCACGCCTCAGTTTGGGTTTGTCTGATGTCCCCTCATGATTTGTCTTTCCTGCTTCTCATTCTCCGCCAGCATCATGGCTAGTACACATGCCATCAAGCTATCACTCACTCTAGCCTGGTGTGGCGGCACTGTGCCTGCAATCCCAGCTATTCAGGAGGCTGAGGCAGGAGTATTGCTTGAGTCCCGGAGTTTGAAACCAGCCTGGGCAACATAGTGAGACCCCATCTCGAAGCAAATAAATAAACCCATCCCAGCCATCAGACATTACATTCCATATTTCATGGAATTAAATAACTCACTTTATTATGAGGTGAGGAAGGTAATAGCTTAATTTCTGCATGATTTACTGATCTTTCCATCTGCCTCATCTATCCAGAAGCAGCCAAACCTGTGGAGTCCTACATCAAACACTCCATTATGGCAGCAGACAAGAAGAGCCTGAGACACTGTCCTGGGGTTTGCAGTGTCTCTCAACTAGTGTCTAATAAGTGGCTTGTCTATGACCAGTCATCTGCAGATGACTCTTGCTGTGCTGGCTTCTTTGCTGAACTGCAAAGCAAAATGCTTTTCCGGGCAGTGAGCAGTGAGACTTTCTGTTGCTTACAACACAAGTCTCCGGGCTACCACCTGTGCTTGCCCCACCTTGGCTTCCTGATTCCTCTCCTTCTCAACAGTTACCTGTCCTGTATTGTTCCTTTAGTCTTACTAGATGATGAGCTTAATCTCTGATCATAACAGATACTACAATTTAATCAGTTCATTTATCTTTGCAATGTTGGTAGTGGAACCCAGGATCTCATGTGTACTATGCAGATACTGGATCACTGCATCACAACCCATTCGCTAATAACATGATTTTTAAAGGCCAGTAGTACCTTGCTGCTTTATACATCAAAAGCAGTAAGTCATACATCCTTTTACCTCCAAGAACTCCTTTTATCATTTTTCTTACACATATGCACCCTTTGATTTTATCATAAAGTCATTTACTCTTTCTCCACTGAGTAATTGGTGGTATTTTCTGAGCAGCATGATATGCAGTGTTACAACATGGTGTTGATATTATTCTGGTTTAAATAATAATATCTTAGACATCTTTACTAGGGATAAAAGTACAGAGTGGACTTTTCTAGTTATTGAAAATAATATATAAAAATCATACTTTTATAGATACTTTGAAACACAGGAATCCCAGTTACACTAAAATTTTAAAAACTGACTCTCTAAATTATTATAAGATAACCGAGCTGGGCATGGTGGCGCATGCCTGTAATCCCAGCACTCAGGAGGCTGAGGCAGGAGGATCTTTGCGAGTTCAAGACCAGCCTGGCCTACAAAGTGAGCGCAAGGCCAGCCTGAACTCCATAGCAAGACCCTGTCTCAAAAAAAAAAAAAAAAAAAAAAAAAAAAAAAAACAAGCAAAGAAACAAAAACAACCCAAAAGACCAGCTAGGAAGATTAAACAATTTAGTGTCACAAGGTGTGGTGGTGTATGCCTATAATCCAGCATTTAAGGAGGCTGAGGCAGGAAGATAATAAGTTTGAGTCCTGATCAGACAATTTACTGAGACCTTGCCTCAAAAAAAGTTTTTTAAAGGGAAGGGAGATGTAGCTCAGTGTTAGAGGGCTGCTAGTTTGTATCTCCTAGTATTGGGGAAAAAAAAACAAAAACAAAGACCAATCAATAGAAACCAAAATGTCACTCCTGGTCCACAGTAAAATCACAAAGAAAATATTCAGGGTTCTTTGTACCCAAGAGTATAAAAATCATATGCTCCCGTGAATGAAAAAGTTGAAAACTAAAATAAAATGAGTTAAGAAAATGATTTCTTTGCTTTATTCTTAATCCCTTCTATGATTTGCACCCTGTAAAAGCCAGAGAGCAACCCTGTCGGTCTGGAACAGGCCCAGTCTAAAGAGAAGGCTCCAGGAGAAGTATTTTGCACTCATAACCACGGAGGCAGGAAGGGTGGAGGTGAGCAGGTAGCCTTCCTCGGCTCTCCGTATGTTTATTAGTTGAAGGGTCCACCAACATTCACAGAGTTCCGGGACTCTTCACTTAGGTTCGTTCCCCCCGCTGGTCACATTTCCAGAGGAATTGGTAAGTATATAAAAGTTGAGGTCGATAAATTGAGCTCCAAATCATTACTGAGCTGCTTCTAAATGTGGGCATGGTGAACGATCACGACTGTGCGGATGAACCGCCGGACAGTAAGGGCAGCGTCCTGCGCCAGCGCCAGAGGAACTTGTTAGTGCTGTCTGGGCTCCACCAAGGAATGCAGCGTGCCACTGTCCGTCCTCACAGCAAGTAAAAGCCAGAAAAAGCTCAATGCATGCGGGCGCCTGAGGGGTCTCGGAAGCGGGAGCCACAGTGTGGGTAAAGGAAAACCAAAGGAGCGCCCTGTGCTAACTCAGTGCTTTATTCGCTGGTATTCTTTCAAAATCCCTCCAAAACGCCACAGACTAGTATTCAAAAGGAATAGCATTTAAATTCAACCATTGTGAACACTTTCCTGCGTTTGTTCCACCTGCCTATCCGAACATCTATGTGTGTGTGGTGTGGTTTGGTTTTGTTTGCAGTACTGGGAATTAAACTCAAGGCCATTGTGCTGAGCTACATCCCCAGCTGTCTCACCCCCTATTGAGACAGGGTCTAAGTTGCCCAGGCTGGGCTGGAACTTGTAATCCTTCTGTCCCTGGCTTTCCCAGAGTGCTGAGATTACAGGTATAGGCCACTCTGTCCAGGTCAGCATACATTTCTTTAGAATAAAGACATTCTCTGTGTGACTTAAAGTAACTATTTCTAATAGTAGTCATAGTACTATGCTAACATAAGAATTTGCAAATTTAAGACCCTCCAGCCAAATCTGGCCAGCTGATTTTATAAGTCTTCATTGGAACACAGCAATGCCATGGTAAGATCTCTGGGAGAAAGCAATGCTTTCTTTAAAGTATAGTGAAACAAAACAAAACAGAACAAGATATTAAAAAAAGAAAATTAAATTTAAAAAATAAAGTGTGGTAAAGACAGGAAATTTGGTATTGTACACTACCAAGGAAAATCACTTCACGTGCTTTAATCATTTATTCTCTAAAATGGAAGTACTAAGCCAGGCATGGTGGTGTACACCTATAATCCTAGCACTCAGGAGGCTGAGGCAGGAAGATTGCCGTGAGTTTGAAGCCAGCCTGGCTTAAGCAGCAAGATCCCATCTCAAAAAAACTAAAAACAAAATTAAATAAAAATAAAAAATAAATGGAAGTAATAAGCTGGGAACGTGGCTCAGTAGTAGAATATTTGCTTAGCATATGTGAGGGGCCCTGGGTTCAATCTCATCCCCCAAAACAAAACAAAAAATGAAAGTAATAACTACCTTGATTATTCTGGGGAACATAGATATTACAGCACCAGGTTCAGTGACACAGGAGGAATGTTTTTGTGATCTGCTGCACATTTTGCCAAGAGAATAAACATCCCTTCTTAAGACAGAAAGAGAATGACAGTGATACATGCATATCCATGTTTACAGCAGCACAACTCATAATATCGAAGTCCTGGAAGTAGGCTATATGTCCATCAGCAGATGAATGAATAAGCAAAATGTGGTATTTATGCACAGTGGAGAAAAATGAAAGAATAGGAAACAGGGATATAGAGTTTTAGCAAATGAGAAGAGGATCTAGACAGGGAGGGAGGCAGTAGGAGGAAGTAAAAAGTAAGATGTGTTATGTTCATGTCCCGGCTCCCCAGGGTGAATGTAATCATTGTGCACTGCAAACATGTATTAATAAAAATCTTAAAAATTAAAAAGTAGCTGGGCATTGCGGCACATGCCTGTAATCCTAGCACTCGGAAGGCTGAGGCAGGAGGATCGTTGCAAGTTCGAGACCAGCCTGGGCTACAAAGTGAACTCAAGGCCCAGCCTGAACTGCATACCGAGACCCTGTCTCAAAAAGACAGAAGGAAAAAAATTTAAAAGTAAATAAAAATGAGAATAACCCTTAAATATTCTCATCACAAAAAGTGATAACCATGAGATGATGTCAGATTTGGTTATTCCACATTGTATATGCATATCAAACCATCACATTATACCCCATATAAATATTACCGATTAAAATCTAATAACAATTTGAAAAAGCTGCAGGAGTACCAAGCTCACTACAGAAGTGTAAGGCATTAGCTAAGCAAGCATCCCCCAAGACCATCTTGGCTCTTTCTTTAGCTCTTTACTTCTCAAATTGTAGTATTGATGTAAGTATCCTACAGTGCCAGTTAGACTAAGACTCCCTGGCCCCACATCCAGAAATCTCTTCCCAAAACCAGGGTGCCCAGGAGTCAGAACTCCAGAACTCCATGTGATTCTAATGACTGTAATTTGGGAAAGACTGCTGGAGATATAATTGATGTTTCACATTTAAAGAGACAATTTTTTTTTTTTTTTAACTTTTTGAGACAGGGTCTCACTATGCAGTTCAGGCTGGCCTTGAGCTCACTTT